TTACCCACCTATGGGTAATCCCAGCAGTACTAAGACCCATAATCCCAGCCTTGGATCACACATTATCCCAGTGGATCATGAGTTAACACAAACTCTATAAGTCCTCACCCCATGACTACATGAGGCTTTGGGGGGACAACTACACACAAACCATAACAACTGGGTATGCAGTTGAATGAATTCTACTTCATATTTTTCCCCCATGGTTTTGTTTTCTATCACTGTCTCTTTTCCCAGTTTGCTAGACATATTTGTTCATACCTATACCCCAATCACCGATACTGTACAAGTTCTTTCCTCAGATGCTTCTTCTTCAGCTACATTGTAAGCCAGAATGAAAATGCTGCCCCTTCATGACAACTTATTCTGCCCTCAGAGGTAAGGCCTCTGGCTCTCTCCTCTTAGCATCACAGGTAGTAGGCAGATATTCAGGGAAGGATACGGAGCCCATGGTGCATGCATGCAAGGTAGAATCCCCTGGAATCTTCCAGTGTTCTTCCATTTACCTCCCCCATCCCCAGATATATTCTCCACCTTCTTCCAATCTGCCCTGGACCCAGAGGGTTGACCTCTAGCAATTACACCAATGAGCTCATGGGTTCTGTTTTAGGGCTTAGCCAATTGGAGCCCTGGCAGGGGATTGGAGGGAAGGGGAAAGATGAAGGCAAAGTGTGTATTCCTCTGACTTTTCCCTCTCAGGCCACAGGCTGCTGCTTCATCCTTCATCAGATGAGCTAAGTCCTCTCCATGAAGGCTCCTCTGAGTTTAAGAAATTACTTTCAAACCTTCAGCTCTAGGGATGGTAACAGCTTTATTGTTGCTAATTACAGGGTCTGCAACATCTCTTGTGGTTTCCCTAAATCCTACCCACAACTCTGTGTGGTCCTGAAGATCAAAACTCTACAATGGGCCAGAATTTGACCCTTCTTTAAATTTTTCTCAAATTACTCCGTGTCAACTGTATTCTGATGGGACTTTGAGTGTAACATTCCCCAAATAGTAATTCAGATGCCCCCCTAAACTTCACCAGTTTATGGCTATAAATGAAATCATAATATAATTTAGACCCAGATGGAGGTATTTAAACCCATATGAGGTAGTGCCAGAACTCAGTTCTTTTTTTAAGCTTCTAGAATTCCTACTGCCCCTCAGAGAAGTTCCACATTCCATCCATGCTTCCTATGTCTGTACCATGACCAAGCCACCACTGAGAGAATATAACTGTTCATTTCCTTGGAATCAGGATCTTCCTGAGACCCAGAGACCACATCCCCTGCCTTTGGTTCTATGACACCCCTACCTTTCCTCTCAACCAGTTTGGTTTTGATAATCTCTGAATATGTGAGTCAAAGCTTACATGACTCTGATTCTGACTGAATCCTCACATGGATCCACTGATCAGCAGCATGCCTCTTCTGTGCCAGAGATCTCCTCCCTTCTGGTTCACTCAAAGAAAGGCACTCTCAGGCAGTAATGGCTGGACTCTCCCACATCCCACATCCACAAATATCATCACCTCACCACTCATCCTCCCTGCCTCCCTTTCATCCCAGAGGAAATGCTTCACTCTCTGCTCAAGGCTGCTCTCTGCATCATTTGGACAATTCCCTCTGCTCTGAGAACTGCCTCTGCCCAGTACAATGTGGCAAACTCCCTCTTTATTATTTCATTCAACTCTCCTCTGCTAAAATATTCCTCTTTTCCTATAAATATTCTCAGGAGAGAAAGGGGGTGTTGAGGGACATAGGTCACTGTTCAATATGTACAAAGTCCAGGTTGGATTCCCTGATCAGGAAAGAGGGAGGAAAAGCAAGTCCACTTCTGTTTTTTTGTTCTAGATTTGGCTATTTTTGCATCTTTTCCCCTCCCTTCTTCTAGAAGTTTCTTTTTTATCCAAGTCATATTCTTTATTAGTACATGTTTGTAGTATATAATATTTACACTCCTTGTGTAGAGCTGGTACATGCACATAATATATCTTAATCCCTTTTCCCTCCCTTTTCCTTTCTTTCTGTCCCTTCCCTCATCTCTTGATTCCCTTCCCCTTTGAGAAAGATCTATCTTCCTGTTACCTGTCTTTTATTTTTATATTTGTAGGGATATGTTTGTCGCACTATAATTGGTTCTGCCTGGGGAGAAATAGTAGCAGGAATGACAAAAGACAGATAAGAAGACAAAAGCTGAGCTAGGTGGTCGCTGGCCTGCCTGATGTGCAAGATCAATGCAATGCACAACAGAATGATCCTTTATTTATACTTTTGCAAAGTATCAATTTCCTAGATTCCATGGCTCCCAACATATCCCCCTTTTTTGTCTTGTTTTGTCAGAGATGGATGTTCCATTGCAGTTAGAGAAGCTGTATTTGGAGAAGTCTTTAAAGGACCTTTTCATACTTGATACCAGTCCAAAAATTATAGGTATTTGAATTCAGCAATATAACCCTATATACTCCAATAGTCCATAATAGTAGTAAGTTATCAGCACAGCTGGTAATTGTCAGAAGTTGCTGACTTGAGCCTTTTCCAGCTTAGCATACTAATATGGCATTACTTTTTATATCTTGTGGCTATACTTTTCTTCTGGATGGGTAAGACCAAGTTAATGCAAGACCTGTATAACTACCAATGTAACTTTTGCTATCTGACAAAGTCAGCCATATATCCTCAGGATTTACCTTAGAACCATGTACAGCACCTTGTAGATCTTCTGTCAGAGTAAGCCAGCTGGATGAGTCACAGCCACTGCTTGAACAATTTGCCCTCTGTGAAAGCCTGAGAGGTTCTTTTCTCTCTAGGTGGCTCTCCTTAGGCACATTATACATCATTGATCACTTTCCTCTGTGGCCCCATAATCTCTTTGATCAGAAAATTGGGGACACAATTGAGTTACAGGATGTCACAGCAGAGTTTCTCTTATGTCCTGAGTCCTCACTGACCTTGAAAGGCTAGGGCCAAAATATTGGCTATCCTTTTAGCCCATCTATCTCTCTAATTTTTTGTCTGAAAACTTTAGTTGTTAAACATCCAGAAGAGAAGCTTAATGAGATTACCCTGTAACAGAGGCAGTAAGCTTAACATTACTATCTATCTGAATATCAAACACCTTAGACATAAAATGGAACTATTATTTTCCAACAACCATGGATATTCTAATATTTAAATCCCTATAGAATGTTAAAAAAAACAACAATTACACATTTTTGCACAGAAATTTAGAAATCAAACCATACACAACATTGTACGAGACCAATCCTATATCTTTTGTGACATGCTTACATTTTTGTTTTGACATAACATAACCCTTTTAACCAATCTTCTCTATCTAACACATAAGAATTTTTTATGTAACTAATTGTCCTTAAATGGGACATACATCACAAGGCTTTTTTTTTCTCTCCCTCCCCTTTTTCTGGCTAGGAATTTGAAAGAAAGTCTTATCACAATAAGAAATCTTTGTTTAACATTTTAGAAGACCTGTACTTGGAATCATGGATACATTGAAGATACTGTGAGATTAACAATAATGAGTTACCATACACATGTGCGAACCTCTGCTTCTTAATATAGTTGAATACTAAAATCTTTTTTTTTTTCAGAACGAGGGATTGAATTCAGGCCTTTGTGCTTGCCTGGGAAGCATTTATTCCACTAAGCCATCTCCCCGGCCCCTAAAACCATTTTCAAGAGAAACCCAACTATAGTTTTTCTGAAAGACTTTTATCTTAAAAACCAATGACCAATTTATTGAGGGTGTCTCCTAAGAGACTATTGAGATTACTGGGAACTCCTCATTAGTGAACAAAAAGTTGGTCACAGCTTCTATTCGTCAATAGGACTCCTTTCTGAATCAAATTTCTCCCCACTCTAAGGAATTTTTGCTTAATTAATTTAAAAATTTTGATAAACTGTGTATAAACCAATTTTGATATGACTTAGACCAGCTGGTAAC